TGTTGATCAGAATATGCGTTGCTGGAGAATGTAAAGATGATGCTGTAGTTTCGTGTCCATGCGAGTCCGGAGTTATCAGGGGACGGAGAGGATACACGAAAGACTGAGGTGTATTGCCACTGACGCTCGCGTATTCTATGTTCTGTCGATTGGGTTGAAGGTGCTGATGATCTGAAGTTAGATTTGAGACGAGGGAAGCGACAGCAGTGTAAGTGGATTGAGAATCGGTAGCTCGATAACTCTTTCAATGCCAATGATCAGATGCTATGATCCGTGGAATGGGACGGTGAGTTCTTTGGAAGACGACCGCTCCAAATTAGGTTGAGGTTGCTAATCGCTGTCGGTATTCGCTGTCGGGTCTAATTGCGGAGACACGATTCAAGGCGTTGTTTGTATGAAGCTCGACTTATGTTCAAAAGGGCACAGGTAGTCAAAGGGACGAGTCGTTGAGAGATGAGGAAAATGGGTAAGAGAACATTGTTAAGAAAGAAAGGCCAGGTATAAAGATAGTAAGTAGTAATGATAAAGTTACAATACACAAGAAGTCTTCTCCAAGGCGTCCGGAAGCATCTGAGCATCCTCAATGAAGGTCAAACCGGTCCGGCATCACAGTCATAAATCATGACGCATCGTCCGCCGCCCCATTCGTCAAGGGTACAGTACTATCGTTATTTTTGCTCTGGTCTTGATTTGCGGTGTTGGTGGAAGCACCGACTTCACCACCAAGGACATCCGACACAGCCGAGCCGTCAACCCCGTTCTTAGCACTACTGACTTCGGTTGACGAAACCGCGGAAGTCTCATCTCCCGCTGCATCACCGGCCTTGAGATTCTTCAGAGCAGGATTGGTAGGTAGCGCACCGTCCATACTAGTTGCAGCTTCATCGCCTTCGGCACTGGATCCTGGGATGCCTGCCAACCCGCTATTCTTCTTGACCTTTTTCTTGCTAGGCTCCGAGAAGGAAGGCCTGGGCACAGCTGACTGCCCGGGAGCAGACGGCGGGAGTGGCCTTTTCTGCGGACTGGAGGTAAGGCCCTGTTGACCAGAAGGGGGAGGTATTTTGCCAGATGCTGGAAGGCGAGGTCGCGCAGCCATTGGTCTCTGCTTGGGCGGGAGCTCGAGATCTTCCACAAGGGGTTCGTTGTTGCTTGCCTGTAACTTGGCACGGAAGAATTCCTGCACCAGACCGATCTGCTTGGACATTGTTTCTGACGTGACACGTGGGTAAGGAGGTGGAGGTGGGAAGAGCGTGACGGCTTGAGTAGCGCTTTCAAAGGAGGATTAGCTCAAAGTTTTCGCTGTCAAAGTCATAAAAATAGTGACATACCTTGGGTTCTGGGCCTGAGCGGCATGATACATCCTGTTTTGAAGAAGATGAAGGGGAACGCTGAGCGTTGCCAGGCCAAATTCTCTGTCCAACCCCAACTCCTTAAATCCGAAAAAGTCTTCATCGATGTCCTCAGCGAAATCACCGCCGATGAACTGCTCACTTCCATCTGCAAATGCCTTCGAGCCATCTTCACCGCCGTCCGCAAGGGCAGGACGCAAGAGCTCCGAAAGCAGGGACCGCATGCGCTCATGCACAGTTGCCAATTTCGTTCCCAGTCGTTCGACATCGTCCTTGATGTAGGACTCGAGGGATTCCACGTCCGTTCCAACCGAAGAGAGAGTGTGTAAGACAATCTCGGGTTCAGTATAGGCCCGCTTCCACTGTGAAGGCGAGGACGAGGTTTCAGTAGGAGGGACTTTCGCAGATTCCATGTAGGATTTCATGGTCTCGCCAATCTTCAAGAAGAAGTCCGAAGCAATATCGGTCACTACATCCAGAGCTGACGGCTGATACTCCTCAAACCCGGTATGATAAAAGATCTTGGCGACTGAGCGCTGCAGAGCGGCTTTGCAGACCCAAGGAGCCACCACTGGCCCCTCGTCATTCATGACATGAGGAGGGACATCTGCCTCGACAAAGGGTTCTGGATTGTACTTCTGGAATTGATTTTGATACATCTAAGACAGATTAGGGGGTTCCTCGTTACCAAGAAAAGGACCGAGACTTACCTGAGATTGCAGTTGCATTTGCTTAACAATTCCAATTTTCGAGCAGATCTTTCTTGTCTCCTGCATTTGCCGCATATTTGCATCCATTTTCCGAGAAAGCTTACTATCCGGCTGAACAAATAGTCCCTTTGGCAGAATCCTCAGAAACTCTTCTGATGCATCAATGACATTGCCATCCGCATCTTCCCTCCACAGCAACTGCTCCGGGAGATCAGGAACACCAGACATAACGTCGTAGTAATCGGGAATGACTCTCTCCTCGTCACCTTCAATGCCCTCGGCCAGGGTCTCACCAGCAGCATCGGCCTCCATGGCCTGCGAGTTTGCATCGCGGGCGTGATCGCCTTCTGCAATGCTCTGTTTCTGGTTTCTCAACCATCTTCTCATCCCATGTTTTGTCCTAAGCAAGGCCGGTTCGTCCGAGTTGAGCTTGTCACCTTTGAAGAGGCGATGGCGCTCTGCAGCAATGACTGCTCGGTCCTTCTTCGTGACCTGCTTCCAGACCTTGTATTCGGGATCCTCAATCTCTATACCCGGTGTGTTTAGAGCGCTCAGTGAATTGTTCGGAGTTGGTAAACCGTCAATCTCCATCGAGTCGCCGTTGACACCCGGTAGTCCCGTTCCGGCGCCGGCAGGTTCAGACGGTGTTTGGGTTCTCGGAGGCGGCGTCGCGAATCCATTCGGAACTCCATCCATGGCAACGTCAGAGTCCGAACGTACAGGCGCGGGGGGCTGAGAAGCTGGAGGTTCCGACGCGCTTGGAGTATCTCGAGCCGGAGCGGCGCCCTTCTTGGCGGCCGACTTGCCGGGGGCTTTCCTGCCTCTTGACGACATTATAGGCTCGTCGTCACTTTCCTCGGCGCCGTCAAGCTCCGCGAGCTGCATCCTGCGTTCCTCCGCCTCGACTTCAGCGCGATCTCTGATGACGATATCTGGTATCAGGGGCACCAGCTTTTCGGTCTCCTTCTTCATGTACATGGCATGCTTGCGCAGGAAATGCTCTGGATTCGTGTTGTACTTGAAACAATTGGACCAGATAAGGTTGAGGTCATCGACAAACTCCTGTTTCGATTTGTACTGAAGCGCCTTGAGTTTCTTTGTCATTGTCCCCAGATCCATCGGGTGTTTGATGACTGCAATGGTGATCAGTACAGCTATTGCTTCATACTACTACAGGGTCGCGTGTAGAGAAGAGGATGGTTCCTTACTGGTATAATAATCCGGAGCATCTCGCTTGTTGACACGAGTCAAGAAAGCTGATGAATGCTCTGTCATAGCCTTCAGCTCGCTCAACACCTTCTCGGCAGCTTCATAGAGCTCCTCCTGGCCAATCTTGTCTTCACTGGCCCATTTGCTTCGATTCTTGCGGACTTCGCTCATCAAGCTTCGGAGTTCAGCGTCCGAGGCTTGGACCATGTGGCGCTTCATGTCGATCCTCGCAATGAGATTCTTCAGGGTCAGACTCGAAGCGCCCAAGTTGGCATTACTCAGGGAGCCGTAACCGTCCGTGCTCGCGTTCGCATTGGCGCTGGCGGCATTGGCTTGACTTGACATTTCTGCTTCTACTTGCCTCTCGGATTCCTCCAGACGTTGTTGGTCCAGCATAGCATCCCTGTCGTTCTCTAACGTGTGAAACATGGTGTGGAAACTTCTCCGCGCAGCTTCCTCGGTGGCTTTCTTGTCCTCCTCCAGCTTCTTTCGGATGTCCTCAAGCGTCTCCTTCTTCACTTCTTTCAAGCCATCGGCCGCAACCGATGCAGCGGTACTCGGACGATGCTTCGGAGACGGGACGCCACTAGGGTCGTGGGACGGAAACGATGACTTGGATTTGGGCGGGGTGGGAGCCTCAGCCTCCTCCTCATCATCGTCGTCGTATTCGTCGTAGTCATCATCGTCTAATTTCCTCGCCGGTTTCTTAGGGGCGACGGGGAGCGACACCGGTTCGTCAGCGCGGTTGGTTTGGGGCTTGGGTTCCTCCGTCTCGGCGTCAGCAGCGCCGAGGTTTTCTTCTGCGGTATGTTTTTTCGCAAACAAGGCATTTATTTTCGCCTCGCTGCGCTTGTACAAATCGCGAAAGGTGGCAATGCGTGGATCTTCGTCGGCCGCAGTATCAGACTCCGATATCAAAGTACCCGCGTGAGCACCATCGGCCCCGGCAGAGGCGCGCATCTGCGGCATCTTGAGCCCGGAAAAAGATTTAGAGTAGCCATTGACAGACCGCAAGTCGTTGTGATCGTCGGGGTGCCGGAGATGCCCTGGTGGCTGCCAGGTGTGGTGGTGACCGAGCGACATGCTCGCTCCAAAACCCCGGTTCTGGGGCGGGCGAGGGGGCTCGTTTCTCCACGTTTAGGAACAAGTCCAGGAGGGAAAGAACAGGGGGAATTGACGGGGAAAAAAAGACATAGAGAGAAATGTCCAATCGAGAAAAGTCACAGGAAGATTCTTCCCGGTCCAAAACCGATGGTGCGGGGGATGAAATTTGATGGCGAAGATGGACGCTTCTGTATGAGGATCTCTGCGCGAACAGATGAGGTGAGGTCGAACGTGAAGGCGGAAAGGCTGCCGCAGTTTCAGACCAATTGCGCAGTTCGAGGTTGGAGGCAGCAGAAGATCATCACGAGCAATCTCTCTAATGATTTATTCGTAGAAAAGAAAAAAGACAATAGGACAGATATGATTGTTAGTATAGTCTTCTGTCAACAGTATCTTCTATCCTATTGTCAACCTCGAGTGATGCGTCTCTCCATTATTTTTGCGCCTCAGGACAATAATGCAGCAACCCATCCAGATGCAGCAGCACATGACGAACCCGGAACGTCGCCAGTAATCAATCAGTAGACTAGCAACAGCGAGACATCACCTTTTCCTCCATTCAATAAATTGCCGACAAATCTCCCAAGATAGCTTCGAGCTCCTTAGCCACTTCAGATCTCCTTCCACCATGCGAATCCGATACCCCTTCGCAGGTAAGCTCGAACTTCTAATGTTCCACCCATAGCTTCAGGCATCACTTACTCTTTCCGGACAATACAACTCTTACTGGTTACCACTCCCACAACTAACGATACACAGGCGCCTTTCTCTTTCTCCTAATCCTCGCAGCCTACATCGGCTTGCTCCCTCACAGCACCTCTTCCTCAATACCATCAAACCTCCAACCAAACGACAAATTCCTTCACGTCGTCACCTTCTTCTTCCTCTCCCTCGTCTTCTACTGGATCCCGGATACCACCCGCCGCCGCTCCCTGCAATTGACCCTGCTCATCTGCACGCTCGCCCTCGGCATCGGCTCCGAGATCGTCCAGGCCATTCTCCCCAACGACCGCCCATTCGACCCCTTCGACATCCTCGCCAACCTCGTCGGCAGCCTCGGCGCCGTCGGCCTGTGCAGCTGGTACCACCGGCGGATGCTGGAGCGGCGGCGCAAGGCGCGCTTCGGGGCGCTGGGCGACGAGCGCGAGGATGACGTCGAGCTGGGCGGTGCTGGCGGTTCGGAGAGTGGCCTCGGGCCGCAGGAATCGGGCGTGATGACGCTGGAGCAGGAGGTCGACAATTGGGATGAGAATGCGGTGGATAACTGGGATACCGAGGAGGGGGCGGATGAGTATTCTGCTACTACACCGGGGCGGGGTCCGGAGTCCAAGGTCTCGCCTGTTAATGGCGAGGGTGCGAAACGGTCAGATTGATTCGGCTCGCGGTTTGTTGAGTCGTACGGTCTTGCCGGTTGCGCTTAGCAGACTATAAAAAACAAAAAAAAAAAAACCACCGCCACCGACGGATGTATTTACAAGTCGCTCATCGCTGATGAGCCCATCCTTTCTCATGATCGGACTGACATTGCATCCTTTGTCATGTCTATATGCCTCCGCCCTACCTTAATGACTGCCTCTGTGGAAAAGAAATCCTTATTTATGATATTTATGGCCATGTTGTGAATCTCCCGGGTGACGCTGTACATTGATATCGTCCGTTTACTCGTGCTTATATACCACCCTCTACTTTGGGGAATTCTGTTTGGAACTCACGGCGTCGCATGTACTGAGCGAGAACCTATAAACAACATTTTGTCTTGCTGGATGGTGGTGATCTTTCATTTGAACCCGGGTCTACATGCCCCCGGGTTTTCGCGAGTCTAACCTATCCTTCACTGCTTGAGGACAGACAATTCAGTCAATCCAATGACTCTAAAGAAACATGCATTGGATATTATATTCCTCGTAATCATGTTCAGAAAATGTATGTTACACCAATTCTAATGCTGGGTAATTCCGACCAGGGAGAGGAAGAACGCCCGTGAGAGTAAGAGGAAACGTACGGGAGTCAGTAATCAATGAAGTAGTCAAACATGATCCGGTATGCGATAATGTGCGATAGTGACGAATAGACGCGATGCAGGCCAGGAAAACAATCATGATAAGTCGTCAACGTAAGACAGGTGAAGTGTATCTAAAGGTATGGGGTGTATGTACGCGGAATCGAAACGTGGGTATGTGTGATCGGAGTGCTTCATTCATGCTCGGGGTTTCCTGGCGTTCCAGGCCAGTTCCTCATGGCGATGGACCATCAGTGACTGGCTCCAGCTCAGGTTTATGGGAAGGTAGATACTCGGAACTGTCCGATAGCTTGGCCATCTTCGCAGATCTCTCGTCTGATCTCCGCCCTGTGTAGCTCGTCAACTTGCCAAGTTTAAGGTCGACCTGCTCGCGGAGCACCTCGTAGATGAATTGTAGTTGCATCTCATTATAGACCATCATCATCCGCTGTTCTCGCATTCGGTTGACCGTTTCAAAAACGGGATCGGTTTGCTGGTCGGTCACCTTGAGCAGCTGCCCCGATTCGAGTTCCCGCAAAAGATGGTCTAATGCGATGAAAGTGCCGGTGCGACCAACACCAGCGCTGCAATGCACGATCCGTGGGTTATCCGGCGAACACTTGGACGCGGAGAGCTCGATCAAGTGAAGCAGCGCTTCGCGATCCTCGCCTTCTGGCTTAGAGTAATCCGCCCAGCCAGCAAAAAGGAAATGCCAGACAAGCTTTGACTCGTTGGCCAATGTGAGTCGCAGTTTGCGAACCTCAGAGCGAGATTGTTGGTCAAAGCTCGATTCCAATAGAGTGACTTCGCCCATTACATTGTCATTCGCTTCTTCGTACTCCTCGTCGTGCTCGAAAGGGTCATCCTCGTCGCGCTGCAGAATCATGGAAGGTCGGTCATAGTCTAGGGGAAAGTATTGTGCACATTTCTCACGGCCCGACTCGATCGTCTGCGTGAGCATGACGATGACAGCAACATCCTTGCTTTCGTGGAATACCATGTGCCAGAAATGCGCAAGATGCCCTACTTTCGGTCCCTTCATACACAAAAATTAGTGGGACAGGCCGCCATGATATACTGATATACGGATGCCCACGTACCTGTGTTGCAATGTACCTCCTCTCCTCCCGAGACACCGAATCAGTAAGCACGATGGGTGATGCATTGATGAAATCGCATTCGCCTTCCGGCACCCTGAGATGGATCCGCGAGTTCGCCCATGCCTGCACGTTCATATATCGGTTTCGAGCCCTGACCTCGGGATCCGCCTCCAAAGCCCAACGGTGGGCGGGGTCACTCGACAGCATCCCCTCGGCGAAGCGCGCCCGTTGTAGCCATTCCAATTCCTCAAATTTCTGGTGTATTTCTACAATAATAATGAAGCGTCAGTAACTCTGCTACACTTCAGGACAATAACGTCTTGCGCAGCGATCGGCAACCGAAGTTGTGATCGGACGGGCGCATACTAACCGATGGCAGATTGGCACAGAAACGGGGGAACGAGTTCATTATCACCAGCTTCCAGGCCGGGATCATCTAACTCGGAACCGGACACAACGTCAAAAGCACCTTCAGTATCTTCGGGTAGAGCACGCTTGGTCGCCTGGACACTCGTATCGATCTTGATGGTGGGATGCGCCATCTTGGCCGCAGCGATCCTTTGGAAGGCTCGAACCTTGCCTAGGACGCCGCGCGCCTTCTTCGAGACCCGCTTTCGAGTTGAAGCAAGCTTTCGAGTGCCGCTGCGGAAACTGAGAGTATCTGGAGAAGGGGAGCGGGAGGGTGGTGCTGTAATAATCTGCCCCGCGTTGCCGTCCGATGGGTCGTCGCTCGTGCCGTTGGAGGGGTGTGGCAGGGATGATATCTGTAGCGTGGACAGATCGGGACAGCTGTGGCAGCTGCCCCTGGTCGTGATTTTCTTGGCCAGATTTTCAGGTCTCACAGGAACAAATTGCTGTCGATTAATATCTAGGGAAGGATGAGTGTTTGTATAGAATCGGGTCGGTTGAGAGGCCACCGTTAAGGCCCACGAAATGGGGGAGTAACAGGGTAATCTCGACCAGTTTCTCCTACGTTGAGGCAGGAGGTAACGAAGACAGGATATTTCCTTTCGAAACGCCAATGCTATGCACGATCAAGGGCTGTTGAGGTCGATAGTACCAAAGGTATAATATGCGGGAAAAAATTATTCAGAGAAAAATTACAACAAAAAAAGAAAGGAACAATGAAAGGAGATTATTGGAGCCCCCTCACGATACACGATCAATTTTGGTCTCCCCGCACCTGCAAGAATAATGTAAACGTTGATTAGAACGTGGCCAGGAACCTGTCGATCAATATATATTCACAAGAAAATAGCATATAAGCTGAGTAGTTGTTGGGAGAAGAAGGAACAAATGGACTAGAGGGAGGACAAGATCATCTAATATTGTGAAATGCTATGTTTCAACTTTCAAGAACAAAGGCTAGGTATGATAGAATTGTGGGTGTGTTTCTAGTGATGTAATGGCTAAAGAAGGATGTTGATACCACATAAAGAGCAAGAAAACACATGAAGTAGGGGAAGGGGAGAAAGACAACGCAAGTATCCATTGAAAGAGCTCTACTAGAGCTTTTCAGAGACCCGAGAAGTGTAGGAAGGATAAATGTGCTACAAAAACAACAAAAGCAACAATAATTACCCTGAACTCTAGCTACAGTCCACTGCTCAGTATCAATACGTATATCCAAGATATCTTGACTTGGAGGCAAAGAACTCTCTTTCTTCCATGGAGGACGAGAAGATCATTACAACAATATCTCCGCTTCTGACTGGTCGAGCTGTCAAACGCGCCACAAAAAGGCTAAAAGACGCATAAGGGCGGGCGCGCAGAGCCTCTTTTTCTTCCCTCCCAACTCCCAGCCATCACACAAAAAGGCTACTATTTTCATCCATGCTCTGCGCTCAGGTCTTATGGATGCCTGATGGATTCAGCTGACGCCTAACATCGCATGAAATTATCTTCTATAAGCTTTGAAAATTAACTATCATCAGTTCACAAATGGTATTCAAGCTTTTTTGGCTCCGAACACTGGAGGTATGTAGCACTCCATCTGACAGGCCAAAGTCTCGGCGGCCAGCTCTTGACTGACATATGTAATAGGTTTGGTTAACTGCACGGGTTTGTTTGCCTTAGACGCATCTCGACAAAGATTCGCAAATGCTGACTTAACTACAGCTGCTGGCCAGCCCGACATTTCACAGGATGGTTGGAAGAGTCCACCAGAAGGTTCACAACCTTAGGTACGGTGTACCTCCCGAGGAAATGGGAGGTACCAAGCTTGAGAAGAATGGTATGCGAGATACCGCTCCCCAAGCAATCATTTCTTTGAAGAGATTGCGCTAACGGCTTTGTCCGCAGGTCCCGGCCTCAAACAGTTTTTCGAATACTTTAAAGAAGAAATCAAAGACCAGTTTAAGGGGAAGCCACCGAATAAACTATGAACACGACCTTATCAGACCCTCGATGTCTCATGAGTCGATGTACGATATTGTTTTGTGATGACCTACAATGATACCCATCCATCGCTTTCTCTGCTTTGGCTTCCCCCTGCCTCATTCGCGATAGCATGTCTGTACCGTTGAGCTTTGTTTAGACCGGATAAAGATTGGGTTACAGATTTCCTCGCGCCGTGAGCTGCAACCCTCATTCCATCCGAAGAAGAACGTTTTGCTTCATTCCGCTTTGTCCAGCCGATTTCTATGACTGTTTGGCTAGGCTTTGAAGTTCGAAGCATATATAGACAAATAATTCTTATTATGTTGTTTTTTTCAAAGTAGTTTAGTGTTGTCGACAGATAAAACGAGCCCAATTCACATAAAGTACGATCCTTCAAAAGCCCTTAGAAATGACCCCTTGACAGTCGCACAGCCTCGGGGCGGTCTATGAAGAGCAGAACGTGTATCTCGGCCGTCCCGGTAACCCTAATTCGAGATGATAGCTCATGTAAACAATGGCCGCCCGAGTTCTGTACCTGCAGGAGGCACACGTTATGTGAGCCCAGTTGTGCATATATCTTCGAAATATCATACGCCTGTAGTCAGGTAGGTGGGGACCTCAAAGGTGCCGACGTATGCCGGCAACGAACTACTATCAGCGCTGTTTTCGACTTCAGATGTTTCATGGGGGCTTGCGCTGATAAGGACATTCATGGTTGATCAGACTACCGTCGCCCTTTGAACGTGAGAGTCCTGCGATGATACATCCTATGTATGTCCTTCTTTCAACTCTTAAGTAATATGCATCACTACTTTCCTTGGATCTTAGTAATGTAACAAGCTGGGAGAATTTGGACTGTGGTCCCTTGCACATAAAGCAGACAGTAAGAACTCTGAAACAATAGTGGTGTTCCGTGACATGAGGCGTATTGCATACGTCGTCGGCATGTCCGGCACACGTAAGATAGCCTCATCCATCACTACCTACCGCAAAGGGAAGTTTTCCTTGTAATTTACGGAGAATGGTGGATGGTCCATCCAAGGGAGTGGTTGAGGATACCTTCTTGAAAGATATATGCCATATATTCCGTGTCCGAGTACATATTTCTTAAGTATCCGTAGAAATGGAACGATGACTGAAGCTCAACAATGTTTGTTGTGCTAGACAATATTATGATCCGAGGAGACACTCACCAAAGGATGCGAAGCACTTCTAAGTGGTGGGTATTACCACTCCAAGAAGCGGCTGGGGCGCTAGTAGGTTGTAAGGTATGGTAAATGTTCATTAGTGGGTGCCTTAAAAATAGCAGCATTGATGAATAAGCATCTTGGGCTTTGTACTCCGTAGATTGTTGTGTTATGCAGTGATCAGCTGGCATATTCAAGGGAGCCGATAGCCCGACATTCGATGGAGAATACCACACTACTCCGTAGACATTGTAGCTGACGGATTAGTCAGAGCAGTCGCTCCAAAAAATGTCAAACCAAAGTAAAAGTTCGAAGGTCAGGCGTCCTAGCTCCGGCTAGAATTCTTTTCCTGCATGCCCATTGGAGAAGAAGGGTCTAGACTGTCTCACATGCCTTATAAATATTGGCCAGCTGTCTCTTAGTTGCAGCGCTAGCCTTGGGTCTGTACATTTATTTGCTGGCACTGGTGTTTGGGCTTTTCCAAAGATGGTATGGTGGTACGGTAACGTGGTACCGGTTCACGCCCAAATCTGAGACCTCTGGACTGGCAGTACAACGTCCCTTGGGTACCATTACGAACCTACGACGGTTTCTGTCCTTCATTATTTTCCTTCCTGACTTTCCAACCCTTTCTTCTTCCTCCAGTCTTTTCCTTTCTATCCCGCCTCCCTTACACTCGCTTCCTGCACATCGTGCCTCCTCTTCGAATCTGGTCATTCGTTAACCCCTCAGTCACTGTGTGCCTCTCCTGACTTGAAACACCTGCACTTCACGCGCCGAAGAGGTCTCACTTATTTGAATCACCTCAGTCAGCAGTCTCAACACAGCCCCCTCTTGAGCCGAGTCATCTCATATACGGTCACCGTCTCGGCTTAACAGATCCTCGACATCTTCGACCAAGTCAGCTCTCGGTCACGTCTCACACCTCACCCATCATGCGAGTTGACCGTATATCGTTCTTCCTCTACTCTCTGGCCCTCGTGGCCGTCACCGCTGGCCAGAGCCAGGGAGTTACTGACATAGCCGGCGTCACGTCTGGGGTGCCGGTGCCGACCGCCACGGGCACTTCGACGACCTCGACAACATCATCGTCTGAGACCAAAGAAACCACTTCTACTACTAGTTCCGAGAGTACAAAGTCGACAACAAGCACATCAACAGATACTACCTCGACCACTTCCAAGAACGATAATCCTCAGCCTACCCCAACCTCGAGTTCCACAACTTCCAAAGACAGTGCTACAGCGCCTACCGCCACCTCTGATGGTACGTCGGCCACTGAGACCAGCGGGACGAAGACTTCCAGTACGAGCGATGTGGTCAAGACGATCACCACGACTCACACGATCAGTGGAACGCCCGTGCCGACCACATTTACCACCACTTCTCCACAGGGCAGCAGCTCGACAGGTTCCCCTGGATTGAACGGCTCAACCAACAAGGACTCCAGCTCTGGTCTCTCTTCTTCTCAGAAGAAGACCATTATCGGTGTCGTGGTGGGTGTTGGTGGTGCCATCATCATCGGTGCTATTGCTGTAGTCATGTGGAGGATCCGTGTCAGAAGACGCGCTGCGGCCGACAACGACGAGGCTGCTGATCTCATGAGTGGCACAGCTGTTGGTACCGGTGCTCGAGAGAAGGCCCCCAGCCCTGGAGCTGGCGGTACACCATTCAGAAGTACACTTGACCAATACCACAACCCTGGTCCTGTTAACGCTGCGTCCAACTTCTAAGGGTCATCTAGGCCACTTGGGGCTGATGACAGTTCCTGGTACCGTTCAAGGTTGTACATCTGTATGAGTATATGCACGTCTTTTTTTTTCATTTGGCGCTTATGATTGGGAAGCATCTTTGTCCTTTTTCCTTGCCTTCTTTCCGTTGATTGCGTCCTCGCCATCTGCGATCGTATCCTTTCTTGCATCGTGCCACTGGCACGCGATAGACTGTCCGTCATTCCTTTTGAAGATTACGCTCCTTTCTGCAGCTCAGCTGTTTGTCTCACGATGGTCGTTTTTGATTCCCCCTTTCGAACAATTTGATTATGTACAGGAATGCAGTGGTTCGTCTTATCTCCGTCGCCGTCCTTTCCTTCTGCAACAATGGTTGTGATCGCATAGCCATTTGACCAAAATCTTGTCATGTATGTACCTTTTAATTTCAGACGGAAAAATAGTCCAAAACACACTCAGATCTATCACCATCCGTATTACTGGGGTACATGGGTAGTTCGTGTTGAGTAGGGATCTATGACAGTTGCGGATGTGTCCACGCAATTGAGATTAGCAGTTTCAGTAAGGATCACAACGAAGCCATATTATGATGTCTAGGTTACTGCGATATTCGCCAGACTCCATGATCGCTAGGTTTGACTTTGATGGGTTTGAGTTCAATCAGACAGGTTGATAGGTATCCCCCAGCAAGGCAGGGGCATTCGAGTCCTGAAACAACCGCTCCCTTCCCCGCTTCAGCTTCCGTGCATGGTTACTCATCGTCTCACTCACTCAATCAAATGACGAGTTTCCTAATACGGTTTATCATTTACATAACAATGCAAGCTCAATAGTCGCGGTCAATTGGGTCACCGCGCTTATACAGGGATTGTAGCGCATCCCAGAGCATTGAAATCCGTGCGCGTCCACAGCCAAGGCCTGACTGTACAAACAAAATGAGAACAACTATCTCCTTGCTCTGTCTGTTCGCTCAGACGAGCTGTCTTCTCTGTCTCTGGTCACCATTTGCTCTGATTCAAGGGGTGGCGGCGTCAAGACATGATCCCTTAGGTCTGGTATATGAGGCGGCGACGCCGCCACCATTAGGAAAACGACAGGATCTTCAGGTTCGGGTTACGCCTTTTGTCTCTCTTCTTGGAGCTTTGGGCTGTGTGGCTAATTGTATTCGTTGACAATAGTCCTTTGCGGGGGCGTTGGGTGGTGCCGCGCCTGCGGTGAGTTGTTTTTGATCGGGGTTACACGTGCTGGTGGGAACGAGTCTGATCCTCTCTTGTGTAGGTGACGAGCACCGGGGATGCTGAGAGACCGTACGGTGTTAGTGGGAATACTTTTGTATGCGCTCCGTTTCCTGCGTGGTGCTGTTGCGGTTGTGTAGCCGATGGTCATGCTAATCGGTTATCATGCAGACGGATTTCGAGTCGGCTGCTCAACGGAGGTTCGTCTGATCCAGCGGTAAAGCATGCAAATGGAATGCTGACGACTCTCGCGCTTGACAGCTGCAATGAGCAATTTGATTCCTGCCAAAAGGTATATCCTGCTGATAACCAAAATGGGTCGTCTCTGACCGGACTTGATACAGATAGCGAATACAGACCCGTCGGCGTCCTTCTCGCTGCAAGATTGTCAGAACCAGCTGAGTATGTTGACGTTCCGGCTCACATGAAGATGTGACTTGAATTGACGTCGGGTCTAGAAAGCTGCATGTCAGTATCAACGGTGCAGGCCACGGCGGCTAGCATCAACCATCTGGAGTCCGCAAGTAATACGAATTCAGGACCCATAGCTCAGACGATGGTTCCGTATGATGATGAATTCGATCTTGTCTGTGATTTATGATGGCTTTCCTGTACAAATTGCTGTACCAAACATGAACATGCGCCCAATCGTTGTGTTGAACATCATGAGGTAGATGAACTGATAGTTGCGTACATAGACTTCTACATGAGTGCATAATTTCTCATCCCAACCGGGTAGTTTACTAGAATGACCAACAGGTGTGTACTCTCTTGTAACTGATGGGATGGATACAACACAGCCCTAAGGTACACATCTCTACCATCTCAGCTTGCACTCTCGATATTACGTAGATCGCTGTGGATAACTTTGCAGCCTGAGGAATGCAATATTTCCTAATACAGATTAGCGTCTACGCCAAGTCGCGTGACCCCGTGCAGAGACGCGATTTCAGTAGATTATTGAGACGGCATTTTTGGGGAATTCCCGGCTCTCTATCGACGCGACGGTGGCTGGGACACGATAACAGAACCACAATATCAGTCTCCAGACAAGCACCATGTCTCCACAATAGGCCCTGCTATCATTGACTCTCGCACTTAATCGTTATTGTCCGGAGTATTGACCTTCATCAAAACAGCACCAACTGACCCCCCGATCATACTTCGACCGCCACCATCCCAAGTCTAGTTGCCATGTTCGCAGCAATCCCACCCGCACAGCCCTACGCCTTCCAAGCGTCCTGCTCGCATTATACATCAATGCACCCGTCTCCATTGTCGCCGCGAAACTCGACGCTTGCGTCGACACGGCCAGTGAACGGGGTCTCCTCCGCATCAACAGCATACACCGAACGTTGCGCAACAAGCAACACAGACCGAGCAGACTCCGAATCAACCCAAGCACACCACTTTTCCTTTTCTACAGAAAATACCAACTCTACCGCGACCGCGACCGCGACCACAAGGTCGAGTCCCTTCTCCTCGCGCTCCCGTACCTCTCCCACGTACGCACAGCGCTACGCAACCCTCTCCAACCCACTCAACAATGCCTCCCGGACATACGCCACCTCGACCTCACCATCCGCGCGCAACACACGAAGGACCGTCTTTCTCAACCGAATCAAGGCTGACCGGGACGCGGGGCGGTTTGAGAACCGCGGCGAGCAGCTGATGATGATGGAGCATGTAGCAGAGCAGAAGCAGTGGGGGGAGCTGATGCGGAGGCGGGCGGATGGGCTCATGGAAGCGTATCAGTTGAATGAGGATGTAGGGGAGGACATGGATGGTATTGGTATGTTTCTCCTCTCGAGGGTGCAGGGAACTCAAAGAAGGAATCTGACAGTATGTAGATGATGCGGATGTGCGTGCTTTGGATGAGTATGTCTCTGAGGAGCAGGCTATGGAAACTGCGCTGTTGGAGACAGTGCATGTGCCATTCGGGAAGACGGAAAGAACGCATGATGCGAGTTCCTCGTTCAGTGATGAGGAGTATGATGATATTTTCATGGGTCTGGCTGATCAAGTACCGCAGAGCCAGGATATGGATATGTCGAGCGGATGAGTATACTGGCGACGGTCATTGAGCATGCATTGCTGGCGTTTGGACGGACATCTGGCGTTAGTGTAGGGAACCTTTCCCAGACTCAGGGATCTAGAGGCTGGTGGTTGCATAGATCTATCGGCAGAGGCCGTATCTTCATTGATGTAAATAGGGTATCGACGTGGTTATATGTACAGAATATGCCAATAATAGATGGTATCAAATCTAAACCAGACACCATCGCATCGAAGCCTCAAGCAATCACCATACCCCACTAACATAGGTTCTCAGATGCCAACCTTATTGCTGGGGACAGTCGGGCAAAGGTGCCCCAGACCCGTCGCCTGCAACGTCCTCCGGCCAGGGATTCGCAACAAGTTCTTCCGGGGGGCTACCCAGCGCTTGCATCTAGAAGGTGTAAGCATAGGCCCTACAGCAGTGTAGAGAAAAAGATAATATACCTCTTGCATCTTCTCCCAAACAGCCTGCCGATACTTCGGATCTTCATCATTATACCCTTCCTCCTCGAACTTGGCCACAATCTCGGTCACAAGCTTAGCTTGCTTCTCGTACCGCTCCAGATCCTCGGCAGGAACCTTGCCCTTATTGTCCTTCAACCACGGGCCCCACTTCGCATCCAACTCCTTCATCGGCTCATACAGCATCTCCTTATTGGAAAACTGCTCCATCACACCGGCAATCATCTGAGTGAGATCGAGGTCGTCGCCCCCGTTCCCGACGCCCGCCTCCAACCCCTTGAGCAACTGCATCAGCATGTCCTCCGAAATCCCCCCGTCCTCCGTCGCCGCCGCCGTAGCCTTATCCCCAGACTCTTTCATCCGATGGATAGTCCGCTGAATGGCATCGTTGAAGGACTCTGGCGCGGCCGCTTTCCCGGCACCAGTAGCAGAGCCCGACGGTCCACCGGTACTCGGGCCCGCACCTGCACTCGCACCCGCACCCGAACCAGCGCCCTCGCCCTCGCCCTCCTCCGCCATGACATCCGCCAGCAGCTGCTTCAAAAAGTCACCGGGCGGGATCCCGCTCTCCTCGAGCTGCTTCGTGAACGCATCCGCCCCCTGGTTGATCGTGTTCTCGAACTCCTTGTTATCCGGCGCGCCGGACTCCTGCGCGGCGTGGTTCATCATCTTCGCCATGTCCTGCTCGAGCTGGCGCATGAATGCGTCTTCATCAAAGTCTTCATTGGCGGGGGCTGGTGCGCTTGCCGGTGCGGGTGCGGTTGTGCTTGGCTGGGGAGTGGGTTTGGAGAAGTTATCCAGGACATCTAGGTTAGGTCAGCTTCGTCAGGTCATCCATAACTCATGTGCAGGGGTGGCAGGTCGTACCATCTAACTCGTCAAACTCCGAGTCTTCGTCCTCGTCAGCATGCTCTACGGCTGCTTTTGATGAGGGGACTTCTTTTGGCGCCTCTGACGCCGTAGCTGTGGGCTTCTCATCGCCAGGCGAGCTTGCGCTGGTTGTCCGAGCTGGTGTAGGGTGGTCGGGAGCGTTCACTGCGGGGGTCGGTGCGCTCTCCTCGTGATGTTGCTGAGTGACGCCTGCACTGGTATTCGGTGATGAGGAGTCCATTGTGTCGGGGAATTATATACTCCTGGATAAATCCGAGAAAAGGACTCGAAAAGAATCAAAAGGGTAGAGACCGGTGCTGTGGTGAAAGGGAGTCTGGCAGACGCGCGCATGTGAAGGAAGAATTGTCGGGGTTTCTTTTGGCGGGGAACCGAAAGCCGATCGCCGCGGCATCGCCAGTACTCAGTGCTACGGAAGACGCCGTGCGGGTGTGCTAACTCTTTCTTCAGATAGGCCTTACAATGCCTTGGAGGATTTGGCCTTTTTATAAACACTCATGTATTCTTACGATTCCACTCGTCCTCTTCTAGTTCTTTAACGGAACTACGCTTCCCCGGCTCCCACTGCAACATCTTCCGTATAAAGCGTAACAAACTCGCTTTGTCCTGACCCTCGAGAGTAGTTTCCCGGTCCTCAAGCAAAATCCGATCTAGAAATGGAATTCCAACGCAGAAGCTGCCTGGACTATCAGATATCGTGTGAGGAGATAGTGGAATTTACCAGAAAAGAAGGTTGCTTACCTTCATCGGAGAAGAACTTGCGGCTCGCCTTCCCTTGAGCTAGAAGAGTGCGCGGCGGGGGCGCAAGAATACTGATCATCTCAGCGAGTGAGCTCGGCTTCGGTACGTCTGAAGTTCTAGGTCGTGGTTAGTGAATAAGGTCCTGCCTTCGAAAAGGTCCCAAATCTGTGATACAACTGTTCAGAAAACTGCTGCACAGTATCATCGAACCTATTGACTTACCATACATCCCACATTCCATATATCGACGCTGTAGTCAAAAGGGACTTCCATAATCACCTCCGGCGCTCGGTAGGTATTAGGCTCTCTGCTGGAGGTGGCAGATTTCATTGCCCTGACATATACCTAGTAGTCGTCCTGATAGACCTCTACGGGGAGAGTTGATGGCCGTGTCTGTATCACGAACTGCGATGCCAGGAATGGCTCAGTGGGCGAAAGCAATCTCAAGCCGACGTGTGACTTCTTCTAGCGGAGGCAATGTGTTGTTGTTCGCCTGAGCAGTAGCAACCAGGCTTCGACCTCAATGTTGAGCTTCATGGCTGCTTCACCCTTGACACCTTCTTTTAGCCTTTTCGACGATACTGCTGCCGGCTCTCCTGGACCGTTACCAGCGCCGTTATGTCTTCCATATCCTTCAGGGCCTCCTTTTTCAGCCTTTATACTGTCCCATTCCATGAAAAACCCACCACACAAAACACATCCTTTCTTATCCAGGTGTATCCATCTCTTCCCCTGTCCTGCATCCGTGAACGCCCACATTGAACAGAAACACTAGCGATAGCCAGCTGATGTGGTGAGACAAACACGGAAGATATAGACAGGCCTGATGATAAGACAAGGTCTGGTGTGTGTGTGTGCTTATATTGGATGGTGCGAGGGCCGTGTTTGTGTTGGCTCACCGGTCCGCTGTCCACTTGCAAGACATTCAAGCATTCTCTATAGAGCTTCATCTTTTGGTCAATATATCGGATTTTGTCCATTTTCGGCGTCCGAGCCCAGGTCTACGTGCCCTTGGCGATTCCATGCTCCGTAGTGTCCAGGTAAGTAGGCAGCCTTTATGTTTTTTGATTCTGTCCTGGGGTTCGGGCACCAAAGATGCTGCCAGTGGTTATTGTCTAGCATATTGTCTAGCACCTACTAAGCAAACAGGAGAAAGTTTTAAAAGGGCGCACTAAGATTCTAGGCAAATTGCTTGTACTTGTCCGGTATCGACTGCCAATATTTCCAACTTCACACACAGATACAATGCTTCTGGACGTCTTAGTCGTCTTCTCAATTGGCAGTTAATCTTGACTGGATGCGTGCGGTGCTGCCTGTTACGTTCCGGTAATCCTAACGGCCACAGACCTTGATGCATGTGAGCCATGGAAATGCTGGCAAACGGCACATATTTGAAGCAGCGCTGAAGATATTGGCAGAGTCAAGTAAGCTATAGCTTGCTGTGCTGTATGTCTCCTTCGCCTCACATCTCTTGCCATTTCTTCCCCGGTGGATTCGAGAGAGTAGGATTCATACTGCCTGGAAAGGGGTCGTCTTTCATCGCCCGACAGCTGCTCCTGGGATCAATCCTAGAAGATAGGCATACAAATTACGAGTATCTTCAAACGCACAGTGAATCACTGTCGTTGCTCGAGGTTATGATGTTTCTAGAGTTGGATTTAACTAATCATAGCATAACCATTAGAATTCGGCTATCCAAGTCCTAGTAGGAGGGTCTCTAAGTGTCAAACCCGACCCGACCTGCCACCTGTGGCCATTGGCTTCCTGGCTCATTGATTCTTAATTCACGAGGCAGACCTGATTACTCCGTAGTCGACGTGATTCTTGGAGAGCACTACCTACTATTTAGCTACGGGTTGGTAAAATGAATCGGCAGGGTCCGACCTCACTTTCGAAGGGATTTCAGGAAAGGATTGATTCACTAGAAGGAAATTAGTATGTAAAATAAGATCCCATTATTGAAAAGGGGCAACAAAGTAGAGCCCTTTTAGCACGTTGTACTCCGAGTTGAGTCGCTGTAACAGTTTCCCTTTCTAAAATTATCTAGAAATGAGATACCAGAGGAATCTGCAATCCCGGGATGGAGGACTTATGAATCTGCATCTTGACGATTGTACTTTTACCATCATGATCAATAAAGGACAAAGATCATGGTGAGACGACAATGCCTCACTGGCATCCTGCTAGCTGTTTAGTCTACCCCGCGGAAAAGACACCCCTCATTCCCCCCCTGACTGTTTGCCAAGAGTGCAGGGAAAAGCTCAGATCATCAGATGATGTGCCCCGTGGGTGATCCTCGTGATGTCACTCCTTGCCTGTGTCTCTAGCTCTTGGGTAAGCCCCTTCACAACTAGATGGTGATAGGCGACAGGGATACGAGGTACGTGTCTTCTTTGTCCTCGCGGAAAGTGACATGCCAGACTGCCAGGCTTATCGGAGGTCTCCTATGTGACCATAACAGTGTGTTGAGGTATAGTAGCCTGCCAGGGAAGGTCATGTGCCATAGCCCAGAATCAATAGTAATAATGCTTCTGCTAGGAGGGAGTCCTTATAGGGTAATTTAGTCGAGCCTTCTGATCGAGTGGTATGTTTTGTTTGAACGTTCCAGAACTGCACGACGTCCACAGTTCTCCGTACTGTGAGCCGATGGAAGCCGGCATCGGCGGGTCTCATCCGTGCTGTACTCCGCACGCCATACATAAGAACCATGCCATAGTTTTGCAATTCCACAATACTAGTTTGCGGATGCGAACATGATTTGTCGGGAAGTGAAAATTCAACTCCTCCAATATCTATCATAGTGAAAATTCAAAGGGAGATTAAGCGAGAGGTGTACCAGGGACACCCGAGCAGAATTTTCCAGTATCAGAGATCTGAGAGGATGGAGGAAATACGGTATTCTTGGCTTGTAAGAATGGTAACAAGAGCGTATTGGCCTATCCGCACTTCACTCGTCATATGGTTTCTCCGCGGACAACTACCAACCTGAGAATAACCTCGTCTAGATGAGATGCGTAGACGAGTGGGAGAACGATGAAGGGGATGGAGCTTGGGATCCTATGGAGGTAGTTACGACAGCAAAGCAACATAGCTAAAACCTGGGCAACTTTCAATGCTGTTCATTGAGAGAAATGGCTCGTACGGTCTCTTGGAAATGAGAATACGGCCAAGCCCACCTGTTGCCTGCATTGGGACATGGCGTTGAGGGGCGATCTAGACGGACCAACGAGTCCACAGGGGCACAACCTCGAGGGGGTGCACACTGACGACTGACAACCGCCTTGTTCACGTTGCTGTTTCTTGACTGTGCCCTGACGGATCTTCGGTTGGTTTGATGAATCAGACTTGTCTTGGTGGGTCGATACCTTCCGTTCGCTGACAGAGAAGTAAAGAAGCAAAGAGAAAGTGCAGGATTATCAAAATTTACTGAATTGACCAAAACGAGGGGAAATCACCTGTTTGGTGAGTTAGACAGACTGAGGGAAGGGGGGTGGGTAATAGTTTGATTAAGTAGAAAAAAGAAAAGAAAGCGAGTTCATAGCATGACATCTGAGGCTATCGCTCTGTTTGAGCCTACAGGCTACAGTCTCCGGTGTCTACCACGGGTAAGTCGCTTTTTTCCGCTTTTTTTTTTTTTTTCTTTTTTTTTTACTCCTCTCCAGGTGTCTCCCTCAATCAACAATTGGATTCAAGCGACAAAGTGGGCTTTTTCTTCTTCTTTTGAACTCTTGCCCCAAGTCACTAGAACAAACTAATTATAAGATCCTTTTCTTGTTAGTAAATAATTTTACCTCACATCTTCCCACCACTCCCTTTTCCTCCTCCTCTTACCATCCTCAATCTAACGGTTTAGCAATCGTGCTGTATCTCTTATTCCATCATCAATTTCCTTTATGTCACATATCGACTTAGGCTCTTTCAACCTGACTACCACCCGCAACAGCCGCGCGTCTCCAGCGTTTGATCGATAGCCCTACAGGATTCAAGATCTTTATCTCCATATCGGCCTTTTTTTTTATTTTATTTTTATTAGGGTTTTTTTCCCCTTTTATCCATTATCTTTTTTTTTCCCCCTCTAGGCGCGGCTTCGAGCGACAAGTCCGTCAGCTCCGGTTCATCGCAATCGGGGTTGATAGTGCCATCACATACATACTTCGTTATCTTTTTTCTCTCATTTTGAGCTCTGCCTCTTCCGTCCTGGCTGAGTAGGCGGGGAAGAGGGGAAGACACGGAAATTTCAAGGAAGAAAGGCAACAGGCGCATCGTCGCTATAATCACAAATGGTCTCTATGGTCGAGACCTCCAATTCAAATCACAATGACACGACCACGGATTCGGTCGTGCCTAAGTCAGAACCCTTGCCGGAGGGATCGACCAGTTCATCAGTGTCAACGCCTGAAGCAGAGGGTGAAGTCCCAATGCAGGACGTAGCCCAGACACAGAAGCGAAAAGGTGGAAGAAAACCCGTACGTAAATCCTTATCTTCACCACTTTTTTGTTGTCGGTTTTTATGGTTTCTATTTATTTCTTTTTTGTTAAAAGGCTTAGCATTAGCCGTTGACACATGAAATATCTTATCTACATCTTTATCTCTTGTTCCTGCGTTAATGTGGTGTGCTTTTCCCATGTGTTTGTGTTCAAATCTGGGGCCCCGCATTAAATTTCGCTTTATCATTTATCATGATGATTGATCATCCCCTTATCTCTACCTTTCCCCTGTTTACCTTAGTCTTTTGTCTTTCTATTTTTGCTTCTCCTTGGCTTGATTTTCATCTCTACTTTCTATTGGTTCCTCTTTTTCTAACAGTTAATCCAGATCTATGCCACCTCGGAGGAACGCAAACAACGCAACAGACAAGCTCAGGCGGCTTTCCGAGAACGTCGCACAGAGTACATCCGTCAACTTGAAACCACTATCAAGCGCAATGAAGAAACCCTGCAGACTCTACAGCAGAATCATCGTACAGCTGCCGATGAATGTTTGATGCTCCGATATAAGAATTCTTTACTGGAGAGGATCTTATTAGAGAAGGGTACGTCAACATCATTTGTCCCCTCCGTTCCTTACTAACGACCAGA